CGTCTTCTCTGTCCAAAATTAAGATAGTCGGTCCAGCTTTTGTTTTGCTTTTATTGTGGTAAAATATACATAACATGAGGTTTACCATTTTAAACATTGCTAAGTGGGTATATGCCATATTTTGTTTATCCATTCATCAGTTGATGAACCCTTGGGTTGTTTCTACCTTTTGGCTAGTGTGAATAATGCTGCTGTGAATATTGGCGTGTAAGTATCTGTTGAAGTCCCTATTTTCTGTTCTCATGGGTATATATCTAGGAGTGGTAATTCTATGTTTATGTTTTTGAGGAAGCACTAAGCTGTTTTCCACAGCAACTCCACCATTTGCATTCCTACCAGCAATGCGCAAGGGCTCCAATTTCTCTACGTCTTCATCAACATTTTGTTTCTGGTTGTTGTTGTTTTTACATAATAGCCATCCTACCGTGTATCAAGTAGTAGCTCATTGTAGTTTTGATTTGTATTTCTCTAATGAGCATTTTTTCATGGGCTTATTGGCCATCTGTATATCTTCTTTGGAAACATTATTATTCATGTCCTTTGCACATTTTTTTAATTAGGATTTTTGTTGTTGAGGTTGAGGAATTCTTTATATATTCTGGATATTAATCTCACATCAGATATATGATTTGTAATTATTTTCTCGTGTTCTGCAGGTTTTCTTTTCATTCTCTCGATAGTATTCTTCAAAACACAAACGTTTTTAATTTTAATGAAGTCCAAAGTATTACTATTTTTTGTTGTTGTTGCCTAAGCTTTTGGTGTTATATTTAAGAAATAATTGCCAATTCCAAAGTCAAGAAGATTTCTCTCCATGTTTCTTCTAAAAGTTTTATAGTTTTAGGTCTTACATTTAGGCTTGTTCATTTTTGTATATGGTGTAAGGTCCAACTTTATTATTCCATATGTGTATTATATATCCAGTTTTCTCAATACCATTTGTTGAACAGACTTTCCTTTGTTCCATTTAGTATTTGTATGGTAGAGTTTTTTACATTCATTTACTTTTAACCAATCAATATTTTGTATTTAAAGTACATTTCTTATAGATAACAAACTTGGTTTTCTTTATCCAAATCGACAATCTTTGCCTTTTAATTGAGGTGTTTATACCAGAGGTCAGCAAATTTTTTCTGTAAAGGGCCAGATAGTAAATATTTTAGGCTTTGCAAGTTATCCAATCTCTGTTGGAACTGCTCAGTTGTGCCATTGTAGTGAGAAAGCAGTTGACAATATGTAAATTAATGGGTGTGACTGTGTTGCAATAAAAAACTTTTTAGCTTAAAACAACTATGTTATTATTTTTCACAATTTTTTCAATTGATTGGGACTCAGCTGGATACTTCACTTTTTTTTTCTTCATTTTCTTTTTTTAAATTGAGATATAATTGATATATGACATTATATTATTTTCATGTGTATAATATAATGATTCAATTCAATAAAACTTATTTTACAAAAACAGACAGCAAATTAGATTTCACCTGAGAGTCATAGTCTATGCTTTTGGTTTAGACCATTCACATTTAATTATTGATATGGTTGGATGTAATCCAAATATTTTGCTATTCATTTTCCATTTCTCCTATTTAGCCTTTATTCTTTTTTTTTCCTGCCTTCTTTGAAATAATTGAGTACTTTTATTAATCCATTTTCTCTCCATTATTGGCTTATTAGTTATGACTTTTTTTTTTAAGTGCTGGGCTCTGATCAGGAAATCAGGCTGAGGGCGAGGGGATGGAGAGCTAATTGAACGGCATGTGCTGGGCAAGAAGATGGATTCACGATGGAGGAGGGTCCAAAGGATTTTAGGCTCTGAAGAGGGCCAGACTGCTTGACACCTAAATATTCACTGACCAAGCAAGCACAAGAGCACCTACAACATGACCTGTCCTTAAACCAGCCACACTTACCTACATAGCTGGGACTCCCACCAACTCTGCAAAAACTAAAGCTTTTTTGGAACACATACAGGGTTAAAAGGAAGACATCAAACAAATGGAAGTTCACAAGAGCACTTCTAACTTCATGAAAAATAAGATTAATCAGTGGAAGTAGGAACTTTTAAAGAAAAGAATCAGAACTTCTTCTCTTACAAACAAAGCTTGAACCTCTTAGCAATTACGACTCTGATTGCAAGGATCTTACTCAAGTGCTTGGAGAGTCTTTTACTGCCAAGAACGGGAGAGCTGCAGTACTTTAAATAGCGGAATTACACAGATTTCAGCTCAGGTCTAAATCGGCCCAGACAACTGCCGTAGACAATTTTCAGGCTGAAGTAAGAATCAGGTTTTTGTTTCTTAGAGGGCAAATGTTTTTACTAGGGTATAAAATTAATTCATAGTCACTGAAGAACACATGAGAAATACACAAAAGTGTAAAGAATAAAACAAATATCCATATTCCATAATCCAGAGATGGTTTACATTTTAAATATTAAAAGAAATTTTTTTCTGGATGCCTGTTTTTATTCCACACAAATCAGGATTAAATAAAAAATGGTTTCCAGCAATTTCCATTTAGTGTATCAGTTCTCCATTGCCTTAAATTATTCCTTGAAACATACTTTTTAACGGTTCCATAATATTACTTTTTATTAATATGACATCATTTATTTTAATCATTTAAACAGATGATCAATTAGGTTGTTTCAATTTTTCATCATTTTAAATAAGATTCCATTAAACATCTGTGGCCATAATCTTTGTGCATCTCTCTGATTCTTTCCTTAGGAGGAATTCTCAGAATATTAGATATGAGGGTTTTTCAATACTCACTTTCAAATTACTTTCTAAAATGGTCACACTTCCTTTTATTCACACTAACAATGCATGAGCATGACACTGAGCGTTGTCATTAAAAATGAGGGTTGTCCATTTGGTAGTCGAAAAATGGGACCTAGCTGTTCGATTTTGTATTTCTTTCATTAGTAGTTGGGTATTTCTTCACATGTTTATCGAACGTTTTTCTTCTGTGAATTATCTTTTTGTGCCATTTACATATTTTTCATATTGGAAGTAAGCACCTTGCTTTAATTTTGAAGCTATATAGTTTTGCTACAGCAGGATCCAAAAGGAATTCTAAAAAGAAACTCATGATATTAAAAGCCTTTTGATTTATAACTTTAAGCTTCTGGAGGATTCCATTGAGGCGAAATGTGAAGGAAATTGGAGGTTCCTCTAGAGCACAATCTCTCAAGGTGTGGCCCTCAGACATCTTGCATCAGAATCAAGGGGTTGAATCAGAAGAGCCTGTATTTAAATTACAGATTCCTAAACTCCACCCCAGATGCACAGAGTCAGCATCTCTGACAGTTGGACACAAGAACCCACATTTCTGTAATCTCTCTGTATGCTCCATTGTTCCTTAATTTGATTAATGCATTACCACTCATCTACGAAGTCCCCCCCCAGTTAGAAAAATTATAGCTATCCTTGATGCCTTCCCGTTCCTTCCACCCCTTACCTCTTCTCATGTATATAATAACTTCATTTTATCAACAAATGTATTTGAATCTCTTTTCCCCTCTTTCTCACCACCTCTTAGTTTAGTCCTTATTAACTCCCTCTCTTCTTTCTCCTGTTTATTTTACCCATAATCTCTATCAACACCCCCCACCCCCTCACAGCTCACCAGGTTAACATGCATTCTAGGTAGAAATGTGTCTCAAAGCTTCTCCTTGCTATGTAAAAGCTTCTAGATAAATATCCTCCCCACTGCTCCCCTTCCAGTTTTTTACAGTCCCTCAACTTCTTATTCTAGTGGAGGGGTGAGAAACTAGGAATTTTAGAGAGACTGAAGGACTGGAGAATACTAGGGAAGTTCAGACAAAACTCAGTAGACAAAAAATTTCAAGAGACAGCTGTGGCCAAAATCCTGGAGGTCAACCAGGTGAATGACACCACCATTCAAGGTTTGGCCCTAAGGATGGGATGCTGAAGTGTCTGAGAGGACAGGCCTTGTGAAACTATGTTGTCGAATGGGTCATCGGTACAGACCCTAAAATCACTCTCATGTATGTTACGAGTATTCACAAATAGAGAGCCAGCATACATGAACAGCTAGAGCAACCTTTCTCCGTCCCTGGAAAAAACGACTTAGAGCAAAGGACAAAGGGTTACTGTGTTGTTCCTCCCATGTAAAAGGAAACAATAATTTTGATGGATTTGGTGGGACATTTTGGAGCCAAGTCAAACTGTGTGTGTGATTGTTTTATAAAGGTGCTAGGACTTAATTTTCAGATCTGGAATAAGAACAGGTGGTGGCTGATGGCAGGAGTTACAATGGTTTCCATGACAACGGGATTGGGTTTTAGTCATCCTCCCATCCTCCACAAAACCTACTGCAGCTTTTCTCATAAGGTGCTTATTAAATATTTGTTAAATGAATGATGAATCACAGAATGGTGTGTGTACTTTGCAATTAAGGCTGCCGTTCCCTAGCCAGCTAAAAGCTTTTAAAGCAACACTAATTACTGTATTTACACATGACATTTTGCATAATTTGCATATTAACTTAACCTGAAAATAATAAACTACAGATTCCCATTCCTGCTGAACAACCCTGTCCCATATCTATGCCCCACGGTCGAAGTAGCCCAGATGTTTGAAATGGCCTTAAGGTGAGGGGTTGTGCCCTGTACCGTATTTGTTCTTCCACATTTGCTAGAAACCCTTGTTTTTTCCCTTGCTCCCGAGCCCTTCCCCCACCCGGGGCTCGGCGCAGCGGCCCACACGTAGGCTCCAGCCTGCCCCTCCTCCGCGCCCCTCTTCCCGCGCGAAGGCTGGAGGAGCCTGCGCCGCGGAGCTGAGAACACAAAAGGCCTCCGCAGCCGGCGTCCCGCGTTGCCCCTGGCAACCATTGACTGGTGTCTCGCTCTCCCTTGACCCTGCAGAGAAATAGTAAATGGGGCTCCTATTGGCTGGCCGGGAAAAACAGGCCAATCGGAGAAGAGGTTATAGGGAGGCGGCCGAGCGAGGTTGTGGGGGTAGGAAGCTAAGGTTAGAGGCGACCCGTGAGGCTAGAACCCCGAGCGAGGTCGGTTGGAGCAAATATGTCTGCCCGGAGGCACATTGGGAACCCTGAGGTGAGGGCCAGGTCCGGATCGGAGAGGCGGAGGGGGGCGGGCGCACCGGAAAAGGCTCCACGTGGGCAGGGACGAGCAGCGGGCGACTTCCGCCGCCGGGAAGGCGGGAAGCGGCCGGCTTGAGGAGGGGTCTGGAGACGGGAGGGAGGCGGGGCGGGCCTGGGGGACGCGGCCCCGGGTGTCATCTGGTCGGGACCGGCCGCCTTCCCGCGCGTGCTCACTGTACGCCGGCAGTTAGCGCCCGGAGGAGCTAAGTGCATAAAGACACAGCCCTTCCCGCAAAGGGCTTCCAGTCTAGGAGTGGCAGTTGCAAAACATGAGTGACATACGAATGAAGCCCCGGCCCCCGCCCCCAACACGAAAAGAACAAAAGCAAAAGGAGCCCTAAGTTCTAACGAGGGGGAGACAGGAAGAGCAGGAATCAGCCGACCAAGTCATGTGGAAAGGACACAAAAGAGGACGTTCGTTTTACCCCCTCTCCATCGGTTCCTTTTACTTCCTTGTCTGCTTCCCCCCTGGTGCCCTGCTGCCATTTGTGGCCATTTAACTTCAGCAGATGTTTATTGGACTCCCACCTTGCCGAGGGTGCTAGAGATACAAAGAGAAGGAGTCCAGGCCTTTTGTCCTTGAATCAGTTCAGTCTCCGGAGGGAGACTTGCCATCAGAAATTGAGTGCAAGGTGTTTGGGGGACGAGAGGTTAAGAGAGCAGGGAGGAGAGGTGGCCCTCGGCTTAAGGGGAGAAGGGACCTGGAGATGGCCTGAAATGGCGAGGTTATTAGCCAGGTGAAGGAGCGCCCCAGATAGAACAGCGTGAGCGAAAAGGAGGTGTGAAACAGCGGAGTGGGCAGTTCCCTGCAGAGCAGCCGTTCTCAGCCTGGGGCTCCAACGACCCTTTCATGGGGGTCGCCAGGTACTCGTATGTGGGCGTTTCTGCATGTGGGCCTGGAGACGGATAGAGGAGCGGTGTCTCGGTTCCTAAGACCATCGAAAAGATGTGTTTTCCGATGGTCTTCGGCGACCCCTGTGAAAGGTTGAGAACCGCTGCTGCAGAGGCAGGAGTGACGCCTGGAAGGCCCTTCTGTGCCTTGCTCAAGTTCTGGGACTTGACATTGAACAGGAGTTGCACACCGTTTCCTCTCATGGTGGATGTTGATGAGCTAAGCTGAGAAAGTTGTGAGGCTGAGTTTAGACTCTGCGGGAGCGTGTCGTGGAGGTGGGGGACATACGGAAGTATGGAGAGAGGCAGTTTGGCTACCATGTTTAATCGTGTCTGCTGCTCAAAACTCGAGAAGCTTCTGAGGAATTGAGAGTGACATGGTCAGATTTGCGTTGTAGGCAGATGGCCGAGGCACATTGTGGAGAATGGATTTGAGGAGCCCAAAACTAGGGATAGGGAAATTGGTTGGGTGATTATTATGTTATAGACCTAAAGTAAGGCCACAGAACTAGGGGCAGAATTGAGACATATGTAGGGAATAAAATCATCAAGACTTTATGATTAGCTTTGGGAAATGAGTGATGGATGGCTTAGGCTCCCAGCTTGGGCTACTCACTGGTGCTGATGCCATGCTAATGAGTTCTGAAATATGGATAAAACCGAAGGATTGTAGGGGGAGAGGAGCAGGATGCCCTGTGTGATTATAGGTTTGTGTCCTAGATGATGATATCCAGCTTATTCTCGTGTTTTTGTGGAGCACAATTTCCAGTAGTTTCTTGAGAAAGAGTGCATAAAAAATCAATAGTTTTTTATTTATGTCTAAAATGTTGGCATGTCTAAAAATGTTATTACTCTACCATGACAATTTATTTGCCTGAGAGTTTGGTTGAGTATCGAATTCTTGGTTGGAAATCATCAGCATTTTTAAAACATTGTGTTGTGGTCTTCTAGCATCCACTGTTGGCTGTGGAGAAGTTCAAAGCCGTTCTGTTCCTCTGTATGTGACTTGATTTTTTTCTCTCTTGAAGCTTGAATCTTCTCTTTGTTTTCAGTGTTATGATGTTTCACAGAGATATTTCTTGCTCAGAGTCTACCTTCACTCATTTTGGTGGGCACCAGAAACTCATGTCTTTCTGTTCTGTAAAATTTTCTAGTTTGTTGTTGACTTTCTCCCTCCCATCTTCTCCATCCTGTTTTCTTGAATTCGTTATTACGATGTTGCTTCAATATGACTGGTTCTCTAATTTTATTAAATTTTGTCTCCTGTTTTCCACGTCTTTGTCTTTTTTTCTCTCTTTGGGGGATTTGTTTAACTTTATCTCCCAATCTTTCTATTGAGTTTTTCATTTCTGCCGTCATGTTTTTCATTCTTCAGAGCTCTGTTTTGGATTCTGATGTCATTTTTAAAACTTTAATTTTGAAATAAATACAGATTCACAGGACTTTGCAAAAATCATCTGAAGTACTCCCATGTGCCCTTCACCCAGTGTCCTCCAATGATTGTATGTTACATAAGTATAGTACAACATCAAAACCAGAAAACTGTCATTTGTACAATGTGTATTAGTTCTAGGCCTTTTAATCACATGTGTAGATTTATTATAATCAAGATTTCCAAATCTGTAGATTTGCAATTAAGATACAGAACTACTCCATCACTACAATATCTCCCTCATATTATCCTTTCCTAGTCACATCCATTTTCTTCCCCCTCATTATCCTAACCCCTGGCAACCACTAATGTATTCTCCATTTCTGTAATTTTGTCATTTTGAGAATGTTACATAAATGGAATCATGCAGTATGTGACCTTTTGAGATTGGCTTTTTCTCACTTAGAATAATGTCCTTGAAATGTATCTAAGTTGTTGCCTGTAGCAATGGTTCATTCCTTTTTATTGCTGATTAGTGTTCTGTGGTATGGATGTATAACAGTTTAATTAACCATTCAACTATTGTTGGATATTTCGGTTGCTTTCATTTTGAGACTGTTCCACATAAAGATATGAACTTTTGGGTACAGTTCTTTGTGTGATGTTAATTTTCATTTCTCTGGGATAGATGCCCAGGAGTACAGTTGCTGGGTTGTATAATAAACTTACATTTAGTTTTTCTTTGGAAACTGTCTGAGTACATATGATGGTGGTATACCGTATAGCTTGGGTATTTCATCTAGGTTTGTATAAGTACACGCTATGATGTTTGCACAACGATGATATTGCTTAATGATGCCTTTCTCAGAACATATCCTTATTGTTATGTGGCACATGGCTGGCTGTACAAGATTTTGTGTGTATGTGTGTTTTCATTTCTCTAATAATAGCTTTTTTAAATACTTTTTCCTCTGCATAGTCTGTTTCCTCCATATTGCTGTTTTTCTTTTTGTTTTGTTGGACATGTTCGTATTAGTAAGTTTGACTTGCCATAACAAAATACCACACAGACTGGGTGACTTAAAAAACAAATTTGTTTCTCATAGTTTTGGAGGCTAGGAAGTTCAGGTTCAAAGTGCTGGCCAATTTGGTTTCCGGTGAGAGGTCTCTCCTGGCTTGCAGGTGGCTGCCTTCTGGCCGTGTGCTCACAGGACTTCTTCCCGTGTGCACATGTGGAAAGGGGGCGAGCTCTTTGGTGTCTCTTTTTATAAAGGACACTAATCTTACTGGATTTGTGCCCCACCTTTATAACCTCATTAACTTTAATTACCTCCTCAAGACCCTATCTCCAAACACAGTTGCATTGGGAATGAGAGCTTCAACACAAGAATTTTGGGGGACACAATTCAGTCCATAGTAATGTTCTCAGGCTTCTTTTAATCCTCAATTGTTAATTTATATTTTTGAGTAGGAGACTTAAAAATGTAATTGGGATCTCTGTATATTTGGGAGGGGCTTGCTGATGATGAGCTTAATTACAGGAAAATCTCAGTGGGCCAGAATTTGGGGACGCCACCTCCCAAATCTGTACCTTTAGCTCTTTCCTCTCAGGCTGGTCATTTTCCTCAGAAATCCCACTCTCCTGAGAGTAAAAGCCTAGTTGAATCCCTGCAGGAATTAGGGATGGGGGCTAAATCTCAACATTAGTATGCATCACTTAATACCGCTACTTTCAGAAAAGATACCTCCACCTTTCCCTGTGTCTGGAGACCTCCCAATCCAGAATTCCTTTCCAGGGAATAAATCTGTAGATACCTGTATGGGAGGGGAAGAGGCAATCACCCCAGGGCACAGAGGGGAGAAGGTTTTGGAGATCTAGCTGCTTCTCAATCACCTTGGACCAATCTTCCATGTTTCAGCTACTTCTTTTATTCCCTCCTTTGGAGGTGCCTGGGGTTGTCAATTCATCAGACTTTTAAGAATTGTTCTTGACTTTCCCTTTGACTTCCTTGAGTCCATCAAGTCATTTTCACTTGTTGGTGTGCTTTCTAGACTTCAGAAATCTATTGCTATCACTTCTCCCACTTTCTCTGTTTTTTGGGGTGTTATGTCCTTAAAATAATTTCCTTTCAGTGGTGTTTCACTGAGGCTTTGGAAGGAAGTGAAATTAGGTGCACTTGTTCAATATGCTATCTTCACCCAGTAGATCATGATCTGTAATTATTTTATTTGCTTGTTTATTTCTGGTACACTTACAGAAACATAAGATAGGGACTTTGTCTGCATTGTGCCCCTGCCTGCCACACAATAGTTAGTTGTTCCTTAAATATTTATTGAATGAGTAAAAATATATGTTGGAGCTAGAAGAAGTCAAGGCTAGAGTTCACTACTTAGAAATAAAAAACATATAGATGGAATTAAACCTAAGTGTTTGGCCCACAGAGAACCTGTAGATAGAATGTGGAATTCTGGGGAATACAGTGTTTAAGTGGCTGACAGAGGAGTGATCCATGTGTCATTGAAGAACCAGGGAGAGAGAGAGCACTGAAGTCAAGGGAGTAGAAACTGAAGAAGATGTAACAGTGTCAAGTTGTAACAGAAAGGTCAAGTAAGTTAAAGACCAAAAAGTAGCCATTATATTTGGCAATTAGGGGATCTCTTATGTTGGCTACAGGAACCATGGTAGAATG